GTACATCAGCCAAGCACATTTTGCGCAGTACAGGGTTGCCAGATCAATGATGTATCAAAGGTATAATTCGACTAAGTATCGATTGCTCAATGCTTTTGAATAGTTTTTTTAGTTGATCCTATATGGACTCTCATACTCCCTGATGTTTCCGCTGATGCTTTTTATGAGTACAACATTTCGCTCACATTTCTTCCATATACTAACCAATTATGTCCATCCGTGAGTTTTACTGTTCGGTTTGAAGAAAATGTTATATTTTTCCTTGCTTTTGCTCGGAAAGAAGGTGCAATTTGTGCTGGTGGCATGTGGCCTAAAACCTTCCACGGGTTTCTTCTTCAAAAAGTACCCCAATCTTGTTTGTCCTTTAGACGTTCTAAAAAACGTAAGGATTCAACGCTACGCAAGATGACTAAACATATTACGCGAGTTGTTGCATACAGCAAATTAGAAATGGAAAATTCCGAGATTGACAATGGAAGTTATACTAACACGCGACCGTAAGTGAGACTAAAGGAAAGGCAAGGACACTCCACTTGCTCAACTGTTGATGTTTAGACAAAGCTTACGTGCAATGCTAAAAGAAGACGCTATTTACCGTATTCGCTTCGCTATGCCACAAAGTGTCGGTGTCATACAAGAAGAGGATGAAAACAGTGAAGCTCGACAAGAGGAAGAGGCAACGGTTGCAAGAGCATTTATAGAAAGCGCCCAGTTCCTTGAACGGCCGGTATTCGTTGATGAAGACTCAAACAGCGGTTTCAGCGAGCACATGCTTTGATATACAATTGGTATTACAATAAAGATTTTTTCTTTTCTTTGTCTTCCACATCACCCCGTCGCTTTGAACTAGTGCCTATATTTTGATAATCGCACGATTGGAATTTACTTCAAAATAATCACATATTATGAAAATTTTTAAAAAATAATTCGAGTAACTAATGTCTTGTGAGCTTGCGCAAGGTTTTCTCGCATATTTTTAATCGATGAATATATTCAATACGATAATTACAAGTTGAAGGCCGTGTGTAACCTACCTACTGTAATCGTCTAATATAAACTTAGGCTGCATTTGCATTCCTGCTCAATTATGGTCTTCATAAGCAAATGTGATGTAAGTAAGCACCTCTCTGTCCTTTTTATCTTCATCTTTCTTCAACGAACCTCATCTAACGAAGAAATGGGTGGGAAGCATGTAAAAAGGTTTATTTGCATGCAACTCAAGCGCTGCATAAGATCTTATACAAGGATTGGCGAAGAAAACAGAACCAGAAAGAAAATTACAATATAAAATATTTCTTTTTGTTTAGTATCCAAATGACTCATCTTGAAAGGCAGCTTGAGTTTCTTATAGCTTTTCACCAACAAATAGATGTTATAATTGCATCTATCACGGGACTCAGGCGCAGATGTATGGGCAGTTTGGCATTAGTTTGAGACACTATTGGGCCGGAAATATACCTCAAAACTTATTTGGTGGAAATATTTGGATACATTGAGCCCAATAAAATAACCATCTCACAATCTTTTAACATGAAAGGTTATATACAAAGGAGGAGGCCGCATTTGTTTATTCCGATTTTATCTACGAAAAATCTCACCCTTGAGGATTATCATATGAGTACGATGTAAAGAATAGGTAGATTGCCCCACTGTTAATCACTTATCGCATTCATGGTCTCACCCTGCCTTTCGCGAGAGAGAGCCAGACATTCAAATCTGCTGTGATTTATCAGATCCAACGCAGTCGGACATTAGAGATAGGCGCACCTTGTCCGTCCAACTCTGCTCCTAGTCCTAATGGCTTATATTGCGTACGCTATCTGCAGCAAAAAAGAGTAATACGTCTGGCAAAAAAAACTTATGTGCACCGCAAGTAGGGAATCTGAAGAAGATGGCAAAGAATTGTATGTACTGCAACAACAGGAAATACTGAAGCCTGACATGAACCTAATTTTCAAAATAAGCATCCGAATTATCTCATAATCTTAAACAGAGAATTCACTTAAACGAATTAAGCAAAAAACAAATCTATTCGGAATTAATGATCGATTTATTTGACACCAAATATCTTTCAAATAAATATGGGAAGCAAAGTACAATAGCACTGAGTAGATCTTACCGTACCATGTGCAATTGCACATCTTGCTCGTTGGCATTGTGTTTAAAGCCTTGAATCTGTAGAAAGGAGGGAGG